TTCAAATATTTGGATTCATCTATTTTTCGGATAGATCGTTTGCCACTTGCTTTTTTCACAGTTATCTATTGAGGTGAATTTTACACAAACAATGGAGAGTTCTACAAAACGAAATAAATTATTATGTTGTGGTATAGAACGAATTTAAACTTCTACGAATCATTATCTGACCAGCATTGTTATAAATAATTTTAACATTTTACTTTTCGAGCAAATCTTGTTGTTTTAATGGGTTAACCAAGAAAAATAAATGATAATCTTGCAATTCCACTAAAAAAGTAGCACTACCTTCCTTGTCAATTATCACACCAATTATGCAGCAATTGTGACACATTGAACACAAATATTCAAAAAGAATAAATAATAGTTGTTAGTTAGAGTGTTAAAAACTCGCCTCTCTACTCGCAAAATAATATATCGTTGGCCTAATTGGGACTATCCTCAAGACAGTGAGCAACTATAGAAAATTAGTTAAAAGCCGAACTGGCGAGTTTGGCATACGCAAGAGCATGGCTAATTTGAAAGAGAATGATGAGGAACAGTATGGATCGGATATACCACGTCTTATGAACCTTAATTTTGTGAAAAAAGTATAACAGGGAAGGTTACAGTATTGTATTGTATTATTCATTTTTCACCACTTGCTAATATGTCCTAGGTACAAAAAAGAGTAGCATATTACAGTAGCTAATTCAGTTCACTAAATTAATTTTGTTTAGCCCAAGCAATTCAAATATCGAGCTTCAATGCATCTATAGAGCTGATGATAGCATCAATCAGTGCAACTGCAAGCTAAAAAGTTTGAAATATTTTTGAATGAAACATTTATAGAAGAATGTCATTTAAATTTAAGTATTAGATTAGTATCTCAAACATAGATTTTATAAAAATCGTTTAAATTTTAATTTAAAGTCAAATATTACAAAAAATACTTTAAATATATGTAAAATAAAATATACATTATTTTTTAATATTTCCAAAGCCGCTTATGTTGGGTATTTGACAAATCTTGAAACAGCTGTATGGTCAGCCAAAGATACAATTAATTATAAATAACTTTAGGTTTCGAATAGAAATGAAAAGAAAACAACACAAATTTTAGTTAATTTATTGAAATTTGGCTGATCATACAACGCTGTTCCGAGTATTGCCAAGTACTTAATTAATTAATTTTTTATTTTAAATAATTCGAAAGTATAAATAATAATAAATTAACATCTAAGATCACATGAAGTCTGTTTTAATTTGGTTTTTAAAAGCTAACCTAGCTAAACCCCATTTTTTAATCTCTTTTTTTACCACATGCGTAACTCACACATGATATCCTTGAAGTTTAAAAACTCTCATACTACAGTACTCTGTATCCTCATATCAAATGTCTATATCTATTGTTTTTTTGTCTTTTCGATTAAAATATAGTTACGGATTCAAAGTCTATGAGAAAATTTTAAAATAGATTTAAATTGATAAGAACCAAATTTGCAATTTTATGCTTAAAGCTATCATTGGCATGAATGATGAGACTGACACGCGTAGAACCAATGAAACCACAATGCCACACCCACTGTGGTGGTTAGCTCGGCTGCAATGATGACACCGTCTGTCTGCATACGCATAAGTCCGAAGTGCCAACAAGGCATTATTAAAGCTAAATGCTTTCCTTATTGAAACATTTGTTGATGTAATTGTTATGATTACATGCATTTTTCACGCAGTTACGCGCATCACAACCTCAAGGGTACACATAACAGAGTTAGGCCTGCATTAAATAAAAATCAAAATAATAAGACTGTTGGCATCGAAAGAAAATTCACATGCAGACACGTGTTTGGTCACGTGCCTGTAACACAAACCCACAACAACAAAACAAGAACTTAAACTTTGTTCCAATGTAAATAAATGCAAACAACTAAAAATAAGTACAAATAACGTAATTGAGGATAAACATTGATATAATAAATCATAAATTAAGAAAACGCTTGACTCTGAACAAGGACAGTATATTTGACTGATTGCCTCTAAGTGTGCCGACACATTAGAGATTTTCAAGGAACGACAACCTGATGCTTTGCTCTTTTTCGTGTGATGAATAAATATAAACAAAATCTGCAAACTCTTGCCATCAGTCAACCCCTTTTATCGCCTGTCCATTCCTGTGTATTGTCTGCGATTGTAGATTCACACGCAAAGCCGGCAGGCAAAACCAGCTAGACACTGAGGCACAAGTTGGTATAAACAAATTACATTAAGCCAAGTTCTCAGATCCCAACGGGAGTTTTATTTTAATACTTGAACCCTCGGGAAACTTCCTGTGGCTAGAGTTCGGATTTGAATTATATTTATATAATATTGCAAGACTAAGCCTCCCTCTGGGCTTTTCTATGGTTAGCTGCCGTTGATTACGGAATCGCAAGATGACACAAACTGACAAACTCGAAACAGTCATGACTTTTTTCGGGGTTAGCATGACTAAACCGACAAGTCACGTAATTTTTTTTAATTTGTTTATGATAATTTACGCAGTTTCAATTCATTATATTTCAGGAAAGCACTTGACTACATAAAACCGACAAAACTTAATAAATTAAATTAAAAAATAATTACAAAATTTATACTCTGCGCTATTAGGATGGCAGAAATTTTGTAATACACAAATTAATAAATATGTCAAAATATGATACAAATATAGATAACATAGCTTTAAAATTTTAAAAAAGCTTTTAATAGAAGGGTGTACCAAAGTATTACGTATCCGATGGGTCCCAACCCAATTGACTATAACTATACCCTATTTAGAGCTTAGGATTTCTATAAATTCATTTAATAAGTTTTTTATAAAAAGGTTGTTCGAAATGTAGTACAGTCCAACAACAATAAAAATTCTTTTATATTATTTTAATTAATTGAGTTTTTGGCTGACCATACAACTCTTTCTAATATTGAAAATAAGTTGTTTAGCTATTTTTCTGACTTCATTAAACGATTTGCCACTCTTTAAAGCTTTTCTTCAAATTTTTCAGGTCTGAAACCAAATGCGGGTTTCAGATAAGTGTAATGTTTGATGTGTCGTAATATTAAATTCTATACGAAGCAATATCGAACTCATCTACACTTACATTTTTCAGTTCAGTGTTAATGTTGACTTCAATAGCTATCACATATGTTCGTTAGACACGGTTCTCTCCACATTTTACAAGCCATCTTTCTCTGAAGTATTTTTTGATTTCAAGTCATCTATAGTTCGTATAAAACTCTTGACCTGATACAGGCATTGAAAATTGTAATTATTGTATCGAAACAGAGATTTTGGCTTGTCATATTTAACGTAGGTTATTATATGTTTTTGTAAATATTTCTTTTGACTCCATCGTCGGTGGAGATAACATTGCCCATATATATAAAGGTGTTGAAATTTACATTATACTTTTGTCTTATTGAAAAATTATTGCTGTTCACTACTTTAATAGGTATTGATTCCATTCAGATAATATTTAATCTTAATCCTCTTTTTGCAGATTACTTTAAAATACATTCATAGCATATATTCATCTTTGTGAAATAATAGTACAATATCGACCGACTTAGTTTCCAATTAAAAATGATAAAGGACTATAAGAAACGCTGATAAAACACAACCTTAACTGAAATTTGAATAAGGTATATTAAGTGTTCGTTGACTTCAATTGTTAAGACATGGGTTTACAGTTTAAAGTTAGGAGAGTTCGATTCCTGCCATTTGCAGTTGTAAAAATTATATAGACACTCAAAAATCACTGATTATGGACATTTTGTGATATCCGAAACAGCTGTTTAGTCCCCGTTAGCTTTCACTTAATTAAAAGAAAATTCGTTAGGATTTGAAGATTTTCTTACTATTACTAATCTTTTTTATTCATTCAATATATTTTATATAATATGTATTTCTTTTCAGAGAACATTCAATTCTTAAATATTTTGATTAGTCATATTTGTAAATAATACGAAAAAGTAACATTAATTAAGTAATGAAATAATGAAACACAAATTTTCTGTTTTCAAAGTAAAAAAATTGCTCGTTTTGATAAAATGTACTTTATAGTATACTATATATATTGAATTAATAGTTAACGAGGGCAAAACAAATTACTGACAGAAACATGCGTCCCTTGGATGCTGAGCTAGTGACTGGCTACTATCCTATAAAATCTATCAAGGATTTCATCTACCTTGGAACTGCCGTAACGAACACAATAATATCAGCCTGGATATTAAACCAAGTATCACCATTGCCAATAAGTGCTACTATAGGCTCAGTAGGTAATTAAGATGTACTATAGAGCTCTCTAACAACAGATAAAACTTATGCTCTACACTCAGAGAAAAAACGTATTAAAATCAAATGAAATGTAGTGAAATCAAATATTTTTCGCAATGATTTCCTATTAAAGTCGAAAATATTTATTTTAAATATGGACCGTAGTGGTATTTGAAACAAAATTTAAATATGAAATAATATTTAAAATAAAGCCGTGCCTATTTAAATAAAATACGAATAATATTTAGATCAAATACATTACACAAATGATTCAAATATAACTAAATATCATTTTAATGATATTCTCGTTTCGTTTCAAATATTTTTGGTATTTGAAATAAATATGAAAAATTATTGAATTGAATAACAAGCCATTAAAATAAAATACGTTTTTTTATATTTTTTTTTAATTTTTATTTCTTTATATTTCAACGTCGTTTTGAATAATATAAATATAATATAAATAAACTTTATTTCTAACATTAATAAAATAAAATAACCTAAATTATAAAATAAGATATATTAAAAAGTAAGATATATTAAAGATTAAAGTAAGATATATTAATATAAAATATTTTTAGACAAGTATACAATATTATAAAAAATTAGAAAATTATAAAAACAGCTGTTAACAAAACTTATTTCTAATATAAGATTTTCCATTATTATTTTGGTATATATGAATTGGAAAACTCGTGAAAAATAATATATTTTTTATAACTATTTCATTCATTGCTGCACCAACTTCGTAGGATTGAAAGTGCTCATCAAAAGTTTTAATTGTTATTGGTTGACAGATCACAAACATATTTTCATCTTGATAATAAAATGCTAATGCTTTAAATAGTTCAAAGTCAGTAATTCTGTGATGCGCTAAATAACAATTGCTCTCATACGAAGTGCCTTTATATTGAATTGTTTTAAAAAAATTTTGTGACAAAAAATTGATATTTTCTGTGACACTAATATATCCACCTCAACTTCAGGAGAATCGTCGTTCGCTGGTGCCTCTGTACGTTGTTCTGTTAAATAATTTAGATGGTTGCGTTTTACTCTACTATTTGTATATTTAGAGTACAGCTTTCCGCATGGTGCTCTTTTGCCTTTTCAGCAAATAAAATAATAATCCTTTTTAAAAAAAAGTAATATTATATAATAGCCACAAATATAGAAACTTTTATTTAGTTGTACCTCAGCACTGTTCTCCGTAGGGAAATTATTAATTATTTGCTGTACTAAATCCGGAAAATCGGATGCTTTAATTTTAATGTTGTTAATATTTGCGTCCTCTACAATAAGCGTAATTAAATTATCTCGGTGGATATTTTCCAACCGACCATGTTCTTCAAAATATTGACAAATCAGCTTTCCTTTTGCTGTCGTCTTGAGTAATGTTTTAACGTCCTATATTGAAAAGTGTTTATACAAACTATATTATTTTTCTGCTTATATCATTTTTACTTTATTATAATTATGTAATTGTGTTAATTTAAAAATAATGAAACTTTATTTAATTTTTAAAAATACTTGCAATGTTTGTAGAATGGGGTGATTGTATTGGAGAAGACTCTGAAGTTGATGAACTCCTCTTTAACCAAGAATGTACTTTTGAGGTCATTGATATGGTCTCATCGTCAATATTGAACTATAATTAGTATAAAATAACAATAGTTTAATATATTAAGAGCATCGAAATACTATAATAGACATTATGTACATTCATATTAAAATCAATAAATAATGAAAAATTGTTAACTTTTTTACATGCATGAATCAAACAAATCTATCAAAATTTACACATAAACATGTCGGCACCTCTAATTTCCGCCATTTAAACAGCTTTTCTCGAAATTCAGCTCTTAACCCAATATTCACTATAGCATCTTTAATATCGTCTTTCGATAAATATATTAACGATTTGTACGTTATGCCTTTTTCTGAAATTTCAATTGGTTTTAAAGACATATAAAGATTATTATTATTTACAAAAAACTTTTATATATTGTTGAGAATTTAAGCCGCAGATAAATTACAAGTAGATGTCCAATACTGCACAATGAAAACGACTAACACTCTTTTTAAAAGTTTTAACGAGCATATTCATATCTTGCATACTTCAAAATATCAGTACGTATAAATGAATATGGTATGTACATATGTAATATGTAACAACAATATGTGCATGCAAATCAAATTTAAAACAAGAAACCAAAACACAGTTGCAGTTGATAAAAAAAACTTTTTTTTGATTCTGTTGAATCACACACATCATTTGATCATTTCATTTGTGTGTGTTCAATTGAATTTAGAATTTTTGCGCATTTTCTTTGTAGACATCTACTTACAACTTATCGGAATATTATGTTTTAGCTCATAATTAATAACATGAATTATTGCTAATTAAAACATTCAACATTATTTATTGCAAAATTTATAATTTAATTTTCACATTTAGCCACAACTTCACTACACAAAATAAAATTTGCCCAACATTGTTATATGCACATACTACTAACAACTTATATATTGTCTGATAATTTTGTTGTGCACCGAAAAAGTATTAATTGCTGTATATTAAATTAAATTAAATTATTTGAATTAATATTATGAAAAATTATAACCTTTTAGTAATTCGAATAATTCCATCATTTCGAATTCTTTCAATACATTTTCTAATTTATCGTCTTCCATTGTAACGCACTCGCGGACACGATCAAAATGCAAATAAGTGACGCCAGCTTCAATGATTTGATTTCACAATTTTCACTTTAATCTGCTGCACATAAAAACAAAAACAACAATATCACTTAAGGTATACATGTAATTTAAAAACTGAGAGGCAAGAATATAAAAGCAGAAATGAATCAAATATTGCTATTGTAACTATAATGAAATTGAAACATCGCCATACACATTGGCTCTCTTTTGAGATTAATGACAAATGATTTTTATATTTAATACGAAAATATTTATTACATACCCATAAATACTTAAAACAAATATTTTAGTATGTATTTTAAATATTTTTAATATTTAATTCGAAAAACAAATATCTTTGTCATTGAATGAAAGCTGTTCATATTTAATTTAAATATTTTATTATGAATATTTAAATCAAATAAAAAATATTTAATTATTCGTTCCTCTTTTTCACTGAGTGTACAGGACATCCTGTGCTTTTATATGGTGCTGAAATTTGAATGCTATCACAGAAAATTAAAGTAGCACAGAGAGTTTTCAAGATATGTTTCGTGAAATCTTTGGTGGTTTACGAGTTGGCGGCGACTACCACATACGAAGGAACAGCTGTATGAGCTTTATCAGGACTTTATCAAGTGACCTCATCCAGTGGCTTTATTGGTTTGGGCATATTGTGAAAATGAATGGAAATGATTAAACAAAAAGAGTTTTTGTAACGGTAGATAGATAGAAGGCGTAGTACTAACCGCAATTGATATGCGAGACTAGAGAAGTCGCTCATGCAGCAGAAGCCAAAACTCGATACCAGGTTGTTATGGATATTTAAAAAAGTAAGGTAAACAAATATTTACCAGTACAATATTTAACGGCCAAACGATGATCATACCTATATCTATTATTATTTAATGAGCAAATATGATCAAATATTTCATTATTATTTAATAGGAATTCAAAGTTCGGACCCTATTCCATCGAAAAAAACTTTTTGTTATTGGTTTGCTGAATTTAAACGTGGTCGTACAGACACCGATGATAGTGAACGTTCTGGTCATCCAATTGAGGTGGTTACTCCAGAAAACATCAAAAAGTCCAGAAATTGGTTATATCTGATCGTAATCAGATATCAAAAGGCAATGTGTTTAGAATTATGCATGAACATTTGAACATGAGAAAGCTCTTTTCAAAGTGGGTGCCGCGTTTACTCACAGTCGCTCAAAAACAACAACGTGTTGATGATTCAGAGCAGTGTTTGACCATGTTTACACGTAATAAATCAGATTTTTTGCACCGATATGTGACAATAGATGAAACATGGATCCATAACTTTACTCCGGAATCAAAACGATCATCATATGAGTGGATTGCAGCCGGTGAACCATGTCCGAAGCAACCAAAGGCACAACAGTCAGCTGGGAAGATTATGGCTTCAGATGCACATGGTATAATCTTCATTGACTATCTCGAAAAGGGAAAATCCATCAATAGTAACTACTACACGGCATTACTGGATCATTTGAAAGCAGAAATTTTGAAAAACCGACCGCATATGGCAAAAAAAAAATTTTGTTTCATCAAAGCAATGCACCATGCCACAAGTCAATAAAAACGATGGCAATATTGCACGAATAACACCTCGAATTACTTCCTCATCCACCGTATAGTCCAGATCTGGCCCCCAGCGACAACTGGTTATTCGCTGATCTCAAAAAAATGCTCTCCGGTAAGAAATTCATCTGAAATGAAAAAGTAATTACTGCAACTGAAGCCTATTTTGAGGTAAAAGGTAAATCCTTCTACAAGCACGGCATCGAGAAGTAAGAGAAGCGTTGGAATGATTGTATTGCCACTGAAGGAGATTATATTGATGAGTAAAATCGATTTTTGGCAGAAAAAAATTTGTTTTTCTTAGTTAGTCACCCGTATTATTGACTGATGTGTTATGTCTATTTCACTATTATTTAATAAGAATTCAAAGTTTGGACTAACGTTGAATGAAGTTCAATAATCTATTAGAAGTAAGATTATTATCTCATTTTAAAATCAATTGTATTACATTGCAAACATCATTGATTTTTAAGTTCACTGTCATTTTGTGGAAAAATTAGATTTAGATTAGATTTAAAACTAGATATAGATATGTGTATGTATATATTATTAATTTAATAAATTGTATTATTGAAATGCAAATTAACATAAAATTAATATTCTACAAGAATTTCGCAAACTTTCCTGCTAATAAAATGTACACGTATGTATAAGTATTTTGAAGGGCAATGCCATAATGTTGAATTATACAATATATATAAAATAAAAAAATTTAACATTTGCATAGCTTCTTTGTAAAATTGCACCCATAAAAGGCGCTTTACATATAGTAAGTTAAAAAATATGCATAACAGATGTCTCTACAAAAAGAATAGCTTTGAAACAAAAAATAGGCAAGCTCAAAGATTAACTTTCAATTCGTTGAACTTGTGTTTCCAAATAAAGCTGTAGTTTATAAGCTCGTTCTAATTTAAAGCACGGCAAATGCTTTGGTTGGTGTCACTAATTAAATAAAAATAAGTGACAATAAAACCTGGAACTTGAGCATTGAAAGTTTGTACAGCCTTGGCTTCTTGTGGATAAACACGATTAGTCATCGCTTCTAATTTGACAGGCACGAGTTCTAAGCCTGACACTTGCAGCCCAAACAAATTATATACGGACTATAAACTAATTAAATAAAAATTCGATTATTTCCAAAGACCACTGATGAAGAGTACTTGGCAATACTCGAAACAGCGTTGTATGGTCAGCCAAATTTCAATAAATTAAATAAAAAATTTTTGTCTTTGCCTTTCTTTGCTATTCGAATCGGTCTAACTTTTAAATAGTTTCTTTCGTCATAAAAAGACACGCCATTATCGGCAAGAAAAAATTTACCTTAAAAAAATTTAAATTTAATTAAAATTATGTTCATGCTTTAAATAACGTTAACAGCACAATTTCGTTAAAAAATTCAAACTTTAAATTACGAAGCATTCTACGTACGCGTATTTATAACGAATTGCGATTATTGAAAGTAAAAACAAAATTATTGAATATTTCCTACCGCACACCTCGTGTCATGGAATTTAATAAATAATAAGCACCAATATTTTCATATAAAATTAAAATTACAAGTCTAAGTACTAAGCAGATAGCGTTTTTTTTTTGTTATTAAATTTTTTTAATGTGTTAATTTGATTACTTCATAATTAAATATAATGTTTACTTAAGATCGCGCAATTCAAGACTAAGTTTTATTTTTTTTTCAACAATTCTTCAAAATTCATTAAAGCAATGTTATCTATAACGGCTTTGAGCGACAAGATTCAATCAGAGCTTATTTCGCAACTACGTCACAAAGTTGCTTAGCATGGTTGCATTTTAAACCAGGTCATCGAACTGGAATTTTTTCCGTTCCGGTTTTCGTTCCAGTACAAGAAAAAAAAAATATATCGGTTCGATTCCCCTCTTCGTTCCGGCAAAAATATCGGTTTTTTTTGGTTCGGTGTCAAAATTAAAAGCCAAGTTATTTCCGAAAATCATGCTATCATCTAAGTGATCATTAGATTCACATTCAGCATCAATAAGAAAATATTCTTCTATTTTCATTCCTAATGTGTTTACGAAAGAAATCAGATTCGCTCCATTAACTGTAGTAATCGGATAGATTTTCTGGGCATCAATTTTATATTTTTCTATCTTTTAATTCCATCATCATCCATCATTAATTCCATTATCTTTCAATTTCATCATTCCCATCTAGTATTTACTACCTAATACCAACTGTGCGTTGATTCCCAAAATTGATTTAATTAGTCGAGTAACCATGTCAACTTTTTAGAAGCCATCTCAGGTATTAACAATTTAAAGTTTTCGGCATTAACTGAAAAATATGACTTACCTATAGCAGTCACTATTGGCTCCATTATATTTTTGAATCCTGAATACTCCAATATTTCAAAGGAACACTCGTTAATGATAATAAGTTTAAGTCAATTAAAAGTATTTTTCAAAAATATAAATTAATAAAAAATCAACAACTAAAGAAATAGATGCACAGATACCAAACTATATGGTGCTGAACCGAAATAAACCGATATTTTTTTTTCGGTTCGGTTCCGGTTTTTGTTCCAGAAAAAATATCGCTTTTTTCCGATTTTCGGTTGCCGGTTCGGTTCCGGTTCGATAACCTGTTTTAAACATTATGATTGCATTTTTAAGCTGTACTGAAAATAAATTAAGGCCGTGTGCGAGTTCGAGTAAATTGAGGTAAAGTAAATTGAAATTTCATAGAGATTTTCTGCACTGCACTTATGTAAATATTTATTTATTTATTTATTGCACTTATTTATTATTTTTCCGTAAAAAATTTTCAAATATATTTATTTATTTATTAAACATTTTATAAAATTTTCACAATGTTAACATTTAATTCACCTATTTTTTATCTAATTTACCCCACTCGAAATTTTGGTAAATACCAACATTCGCTGTCATACAGACATAATTTACTATTTTCCTCAATTTATTATCAATTTACTCTGGTTGATTTCTTTTAAATTTTGATATTAACAAATAAACTCAATCGCATTTTTGGTTTATTTATTATTTGATGGTTAAATATATAAAAATATGTGATAAACATATGTGATATCCTTCTTCAGCAGAACAGAGTTGAGGTTGCTGGTGAGACATTTAACGGGTCACCATGGACTGCGTTATCACCATAACAAAATGGGTCTGTCCGAGGAGATAGATAGATAGATTGTCGACTTTGCTTAGAAACAGACGAGACTTTCAGTCACATTCTCTGTGACTGCCCAGCCTTGATCTGGGCCAGGAGAAGGTCACTCTCCTCTTCTAACATTAGGTGGTCCTCAACGGGCGATATTCTAACTTTCATATGGAAGACGGAATGTCTTTTGTTCGGTTAGAGTCTGTTGCAGCACAAAAGATCAACTATGACCGCAATGCTCCGCTCCGTTGGGAGCTAGTACCCCATTTATTTCTATTTCTAAGTATTATTATTATGCCAAATTAATATTTTCGGCATAAAAATAATAAAAATAAAAAAGTGAGCACATAAAAAAATATTTAAATAAAAACAATCTTATAATGAAT